CCTGATAAATTGTCTGTCAAACCTTAGTGCTAAGTGAAAGGGAAAAATAATTCCCCCTAAGGATTTAAAATCACTTGGCAATTAAAAGGAAAAAAACTACTTATACACATAACAACATGGATGAATCTCAAAAACATTATGCAGAGAATTCAAAACCACCAGATGGCCTTATCTGGGTTTACAGGCTAAATTCTGACTATTTACATGGTTCAATAAACCTCAAGCCAATAAGTTAAAGTGGTCCTGGATTGACTGTGCCCTAGACCAGGGGCAGGCAAACTATTCCAGGGGAAGGGCCAGAGGGTGAATAGTTTAGGCTTTGTGGGCCATCCAGTCACTGTTGCAACTACTTAACTCTGCTGCTGTAGCGCAGAAGCAAACACAGACAGTGAGTGAACAAATAAGTGTGGCTGTCTTCAATAAAATCTTACAGAAACAGGCAGAGCACAGGATTTAGCCTATGGGCTGTAGGCTGCTGATCCCTGATCTAAAGGCCTGAAGGCAGATAAAATTTCAAAGATGACATCATCATAAAAATTCTCTAACCACACAAAGAAATGACTCCATTAATGAGAAGCCACAGGGGGATAAAAAGACTCAGACTTGCAAAAGATCGAAGACTTTGGAACAGTAGGAAAAACATATAAAATCAATACACGTAAGATGCTTCAAAACTTATTGAAGGGCTTCCCTGGTGGCGCAGTGGTTGAGAGTCCGCCTGCCGATGCAGAGGACACGGGTTCGTGCCCCGGTCCGGGAAGATCCCAAGTGCTGTGGAGCGGCTGGGCCCGTGAGCCATGGCTGCTGAGCCTGTGCATCCGGAGCCTGTGCTCCGCAACGGGAGAGGCCACAACAGTGAGAGGCCCACGTACAGCAAAAAAAAAACCCAAAAAACAGAAAAACTTACTGAAGAGTATGCACTTTTGAAAAAGAATCAACTACTCAGGGAACTATATTCAATATCTTATAATAACCTATAATGGAAAAGAATCTGAAATAGATAGCTAACTATATGTATATAGCTATACTGGGTTGGCCAAAAAGTTCATTTGGGTTTTTCTGTAAGATGTTATAGCCAACCCAATATATGAATAACTGAATCACTTTGCTGTACACCTAAAACTAACACATTGTAAATCAACTGTACTTCAATTTAGGAAAAAAAAATCAAATATAACTCATAGAAATGAGATATATAAAAACTGAAATTAAAGACTCAATGATGGGACAGAGCAGTAGATTAGAACTGAAGAATAAGTGAAATGGTACAATCATAAGATTGTCCAGAAAGAAGTCTAGCTAGAGGCAAAGAAATGGAAAATATAAAAAAGAGATTGAGAGACAGGTAGGATACAGTGAGAAAGTCTAATATTTGTTTAAGCAGACTTCTAGAAAGACAGGAGAGGGCAAATGGGAAAAAGACATTATTGAAAGGGATATCTGAGAATTGATAAAAAATACTAAACCACAGATGAGAAACCAACAAGTCACAAGCAAGATAAATAACAAGAAATCCACACCTAGAAACATCATGGTGAAATGGTAAAATAACAAAAACAAATAATCTTAAATACACTCAAAGAAATATTACCTTCAAAGAAGTAATATTTATGCCTGGTAGCTGACTTCTCAATAGAAACTATGGAGTGACCCTTAATGTGTTTAAAGAAAAATAACTGTTGATATAAACATAAACTTCTATATCCAGCAACAACTTTCAAAAGGTGTACAAAATAAATAAACTTTCAGGAAACAAAAACTGAATTTGCCACCAGCAGACTCTCAATAAGGAACGTGATCCCAAATGGAAGGATTGAGATAAAAGAGATAAGGAATAAGAAAGAAAGTGGTCAACGTGTGCGTAAACGCTGACTATATAAAATAACCAAAATGATGATGACAACAATGACTACGATATTTTGTGGGATTATATAAGTAATTAAAATGCATAATATCATATAAATTGGCAGGAGGAATGAATGACTGGAATTCAAGGTCCTTGTATTATTCAGGAGAATAAGGATAGTGATCAATTTTAGACTTCGATAAGTATGCAAGTTGAAATTTATAAAGTAACCACAGAATAAAAACAAATTAAGACCATTAAACTCCAATTTAAGTAGAGAAAATGGATAAAGTAATAAATCCAGTACAGGGCAAGAAGAAGAGAGAGATTTTAAAAAATGGAAGAAAGAGAAAGCACAAAACAAGATTAAAAATAAATCCAAATGTTATTACACTAAATGTAAATGTTGCTCTTGTACACTGCTGCTAGGTTGTGTAAAATGGCACAGACTTTCAGGAAATGTTTGGCTGCTTCTACGCTAAAGGTGAAATGCTCATACCCTATCCTGGAGCAGCCTTAATTCCTACTATACAAACAACTAGGGAAACTCTTGAGCATACCCAAAAAGAGATATGCAAGCATATTTACAATAAGCTAAAAGGAACCCTACTGTCCATTGACTGTAAATGGAATAATAGTTTGTGATTTTTCATACCTTCCAGGATCCAGTCATGTTCTACTTATTGGCCTGGTAACAAGCATGCAGGTATCTATTTTTATCACTGCCCTTAAAGTGTACCTGCACACCTTCATATACATTTGTGTGTGTTCTAGAATTTCACAATAAATAGAAAGAAGTGAGAATCAGAGAAGTTGTCAAAGGCTGAAAAGCTGATGAGTGCTAGAGCCACAATTAGAAAATGTCTTTATGACTCTTTATCTCATCTTAACCATTACTCCAAAAAAACATCAAACACCAGTAGCAACAATTCTCTAGAAGCCAGTGTTAAAAAAAGACAAAAGCAATCATATAGCTTTTGTCAAGTTCCTAATAGGGCCCTTAGTTTTCGGTACCAATCCCAGATCCCATCCTCCCCGCCAGCCTCCCAGCACAAGCTACTCAGACCCAGCAAGAAGCAGGTTAGATCTGCAGTACCACGTTTAAGAAAGTACCATATTTCAGAAACAACGACTGAGAGCAACTCTGGTCAAGAGGCAGCCCTCATGACCACAGTAACTTTTCTGTAGTCATGAGAAACCAATAGCCCTTATCATATATTTGCAGGTATCAAACAAATAGAACAACCCAAACGCAACATGTGCACCGAGGGGATAATGGCAAATCACTGAGACAAAGTTGAGCTGGCCTTGGAAAGTCTGCTTATACAAGAAAACTTTCCTTGCCACTGTTCTTTGTCCCAGGCTGTGATCTGGGACTATTCCCCCTACACTCTGAGTGTATTTGCTGATTCAGACATGGCTGCTCTTCCAGTCCCGGGATGTGCCAGGACATTTCAGAAACCCTTGGCATTCTTGAAACTCGATGTCTATAAATGTCACCAAGACGAAGGGCAGGACTAAAAAAAGGTAACCTCAAGGCTCAGTGAATGAATCTGTACAAGGGTTAGATGAAAGTTCTTATCTAATGGGATTTTTCTACCAAATCCTGCCTACCCTTGATATCCCAATACAGTTACAGAAGAGTCAGGAATACACACAATATTTCGGGCACAATATTTCTAAAGTGGGTATAAAATAATATTAGGGAAGGCAAGTCCAAAGAAGGAGTATAAACTAAATCTGAGCAGTATTTGCTTTCTAAAAACATGTTTTCAGTAACACTGTAATTCCTAAAACAACCTGAAAACTAGTTGTGTAAGTCAAAGACCTACAAGAAGGTTCTGATTAAAATAGCATTACATTTTCTAGTGAATACATGACAGCATTATTACTTTCACAGTGCCCTTGGAAAGATACATATTATCAGTGTCCAAACAAAACAGCTGTTAGTTGTTCTATCAGCTTTTCTGAGAACTGACCCAATTAATAAAATGGATTTATTAATTCAAGCTCTATTGAATATGAAAAGGAAAAAAGGAAAAGGAAATCTTCTGAGAAAAAACAAATAAGACAAAGAGTCACCCCAACATACATATTTGGATTTGCTGATTTTCGGTCAAGCTCACCCTCAGGAGAGTTTCTGTTTGTTTTGGGTGGGGGCAAAGGTTAAAGCAAGAACAAAGGGACAAGATGGGAGGAAGTGAGAAGAGAAGGGTAGCTGACTGAGATGGTCAACTGTTCCGCAAATCTTCCCTTGGGATCAAACTCCTATAGCTTGATGAGGAAGAATACACACTGATAGCGTTGGGGCAGGCCTACCTAGAGTCAGTTAAGAGAGAATTGCCTGAGTTCACCTACAAAAGAACGGAATCCAAGGGTCAGAGTCCAGACAACGAGGCTAAAAAAAAAAAAAGAAAAAACACACCAAAACCAGCGGTTCTTGTTTCTCGTTTCCCAGATGTTCCAGTCCCAGAAAATCTAACTCTGTCATTGAAATGAAAAACAAACAATCCTTGTTTGTAATGGAAAAGAATTTAACTTACTCAAAATCAGAAGAGGGTAAGAGGGTAGAGGTGCAGGGGAAATAATGCAACAGACATTTAGAAATATAGAATTTATTTATATTCACCGTAAGACAGTGTCACATTTTGTACATGGCTACCAGAAGAGGAATAACACTCTGATTGCACTAGATTGCTATCAACATTGCTTATTCTGCGGAGTCGGGAAACACTTATTTTCCCCCTTTAAAAAACTTAAGGCTCAGTTTCCAAAAGGTAATTTTACCACTTATTTTCCTTATTGCCCTCTTAAGGAGGGCAGTAGCCATATATAAAAGCCACTTTAAGATGACACAATTAAGGAACTGGAAAAGTTCTGAAATAAAGGACAAAGGGGTGGAGGAGGAAGGACAGTGCCACACACTTCACTCACTCCTACCCCACCCCCCCACCCCGAAGACACTCAGTGTGATCTGTGGTTTTGTCAAAGGCTCCTCCTATCTGAAATGTGTTTAGTTACAAGATCAAACAAATCAGTAGATGGGAGAGGCCTTAGGTATGTACCTTTAGTAAACAAACGGGAAAACTAAAAACTTTATCACTAGTTGCTGGCTAATGTATGTTTATTTGCAAGTTGCCTGCAGATAAGTGTGCACACACAGTCATGTGGACTCACTTTCCTTTGGTAAAGCTCACCAAACAGGATGCCTCTTCTAACACACTAGTAAAAAATATTTAATTTCCTTTCAACTTTCAGATCAAGTGGCCACAAAGCTGTCCTTTCTCCTAAATACTATCTTCCATTTTTCTTTTCAAGCTTGTAGTAGAACAAAACCATGATAGTAACTCAAACTGGTGTGTAATCCCTGTTTCAGTGATTAAAGAGAGTGGGAGGAAAGAGCGTGAGAAAGCTAATCGTGAACAAAGTTTAGGATATTTTCCTCAGAATTTACCATATCAACGAGTTCCAAACACGAGTTCCCAAAGTGTTTTAGAAGCACGTTTTCCTGTACAAATATTTCATTCAATCTACAATGACATAATCATTTTACAAAAGAGAATCTGTTCAAACTCAGTAAACTACCTTACAGTTCATGAGGCTAATGCTATAACAGCAACAAAAGCCAAAAAGGGCACCGTGGGTTCTGCCTCTGGCATCAAGAGGTAGAGACAATCACTGGGTAGAAAAGATTAACAATAAAAAACAAAAACGGTAAAACAAAACAACACGCCCTCCCCGCAAAAAAATACTCCACCACATTCCATTTCTAAGGACTAGTTCTGGAAAGCCTGGGTGGCATTCAGTCTAATTCCAAGTTGAGAGATCCATTGCCCACAATCATCTTGCTGTAATTCTTCTGCTGCTCTTCCTTAAAGGTGTCCTTCACCTTGGCTCTCTTCAGCCCTCCATCCCTGAGAACAGAAACACAAATAAATAAAAGATACTCCCAGCAGCAATTTAAAAGGGTTACCTATTAATACATGCTGCACGGTGCCATGACATTTAGCAGCTGGTCAGCGATTAGGCAAAAAATCACTGGATTTGGAAGGAGAAGGAACCAGATTTCAATCTCTGCTCTGCCACTCAATCAGACCTGTGTTACTTTAAGGCAGGAACAATCTCTCTGATGTTTGATTAACATAAAACAATCTCTCTGCTCAGTTTCTTTTTATAAGTTAGGGCTGCTATATTCAATATTTGGATACTATATTAAAACTAGGATTGTTTACCTATAAAGTACTAGGTATTTTTCATCTAAATCGACCTATATCTTACTAGAAAGCCATATGGAAAATTTTAAATAAACACACAAGAAATGGCGAGGATACTGAGTATGTGTGGGTAAATTCCTTAAAGAGAAATGGGTTCATCATTATTCAAATCTAATCCTATGTCTAACAAGTCACGTTTTGATTCAAACCACTATATTTCAAGTACTTATAATCTTCCATATTCCAAAACAGACTCAAAATAAAACAAGCAACAAAAACATAAATTGCATTCAACCAATAATAGTGCCTATGTAAGCAGCATTCCTTAATTCAGAGCCTGTGAATCTTTGAACTCTCTCCAGGGTGGAGAAAACAGACCTGCCTGGGTTATAAGTATTCTGTGTGCACTTCCTTCTTTAGACAACAAAAAGAAACAACAAGCTGGAAGAGCTGGAAGGGGACTGGACTGCCAGGGTCACTCTCTCTCTCCTAATCTCATGTTTTAGATTTTAGATTTTAACTCCTAGGAGAGCATGGACCAAGAACTTGCTTACTTTATACTCTGCCTGTTTAATTTTAACCCTGCTAAGCATGAATGTTTACCAAGTGCTCTCTAATGATGATGAATGGATCATAGGTTAGCCAGTGAACTCAATGCCATGAAGACAGTGACCTACAAACAGACGGCCGCCTGAGACAACTGCCATGTCCTGGCCTCTAAAGTCAAAACTAAGACACGGCCCACCAGGAGGTCCTCTACTTAAAAATAGACTTCGGTCCACAAATCTTCCAGGGGGTCAGTTGTAGGAAATAAGGTTATAAGTTGTCGTTAGGTCTCCAGAATTGTCCACAGAGCCTCTTTTATCCACATGAGCTGCCTCTAACTATTCAGAGCATCTTTGTGAATTCTGAATAGTAAGAACTAGGGAAGGGAGGGAGAGACAGAAGAAAGGCCATTCCTCCTTTCCTGAGGTCCAGGCCAAAACAGATAAAAATTCACAATCAGCAACATTTGTCCTTGAGCATCCTGACATTAGTTTTACACAATTCTCCCTCCCAAGCATTCCAGTAAACCTCATGCTGCTCTGAGTACCCCAGCTGTGACTTGCCACCCCTAGACACTTTAAAGTTTTACCTAATTCCCCTTTGCAATGACAGCAGATCTTAGTTCTTAAGGAGGGCAGTAGCCATATATAAAAGCCACTTTAAGATGACACAATTAAATTCTCATTTAATCTAGGGGGAAAAATAATCTAGACATGTTAATTCATATCCAAATGACAAACACATCTGGAAAGGCAGTGAGCGTATTTTCTTTTTAAGAAGAGGCCAGGTAATTAAAAGTAACTTTTTATTATTAAACTGCAGATGGCCTGATAAAAGAAATTTTAAAACTCTGAGGATCATTTGTGCCATTTCGCTCAAGCCAATCTGACTGGGAGTCTGTCCTGGAGCTAACTCCCTTAGGTTATTTTTGTTTCGCAAGGCTTTCTTCCTTTCCTTGGTACCTGAGACTATAGATCCAAAGCTCTAAGCTTTTCATAATGGCTTCAGGGCAGGAGTGGGGCTGGGATGTCAGGTAAGAGGAAGGGGGATAAAGAGTAGAAAACAATGAACAAGGAAGAGGAAGCCCATTACACATATGAACATGGGTCACTAGGACATCTGTAAACTAGGACATTGGTAAGCCTGTCATTTCATGATGGTAGGATGTCTGCAATTTAGTTTCACATATTCCAGTTTAGAGAGTGTAATACAAATATTAGTCTTAACCTGTCTTAACCCTAGTCCTGACTTTAGGGCCCTAAAGTGAGTTGCCCTAAATCAAGAACTCATACTCCCAGAGTGGTCAACTAGGCATTTAATCAGAAGGCCACCCTCCAGAGGTGCCACTCTAAGGTTTCAGCTATCTTGATCTCCCATCAACCTCCCAAGCTTTGTTAATTAGCATAATTTTAGAAATGGGTTTTCACTGTAGAAATTAGTAGTTTGTTCATTAGCATGACAGATGCCAGAGTCAGGCTTTCCTAGGTGAAATTAGTTGTATTCAAGGTATGTGAATGGATAAAATATTTTAGAGACATTCCCCACCCTTGCATTAAAGGGTATATAAGAATCTAGCCAGTCCTTCTTCCAGAGGCTTAATCCCTAAATAGTCCTGCGTTCCTCTGCGGGTTCAGAAGGCTTTGGTCGCCTGGCTGACAGCCTGACTTGGTGAGCCACATCCTGCTCCTACAACATCGCCAAAATTGCCTCCGATGAACTTTTCAAACACCGAAAAGACAGCAGGGACTTTATTACACTTACAGGACTTGAAGTATGGACTATTTTGTGCCAGTTTGCAAATCCTATGTCTGTGTGTGTGTGTAAGAATCAATCTCCTATTATAACCCTCACTGATACAGACTAAATGTTTGTGTGCCCCCCAATATTCGTGTACTGAAGCCCTAACTCCCAATAATATGGCATTTGGAGATGGAGCTTTTGGGAGCTAATTAGGTTTCGATGAGGTCATCAGGGTTGGGCCCTCAAGATGGGAATAGTACCCTTATAAGAAGACACACCAGGGCTTCCCTGGTGGCACAGTGGTTAAGAATCTGCCTGCCAATTCAGGGGGCACGGGTTCGAGCCCTGGTCCAGGAGGATCCCACATTCCGCGGAGCAACTAAGCCCGCATGCCACAACTACTGAGCCTGCACTCTAGAGCCCGTGAGCCACAACTACTGAGCCCATGTGCCACAACTACTGAAGCCCACACGCCTAGAGCCCGTGCTCCGCAACAAGAGAAGCCACCGCAACGAAGAGCAGCCCCCACTCGCTGCAACTAAAGAGAAAAGCCCGCGTGCAGCAACGAAGACCCAGCGCAGCCAAAAATAAATAAATTAACTAAGTAATTTTTTTAAAAAGACACAACAGAGAACTTCCAGCCTTCAGAACTGTGACAAAATAAATTTCTGTTGTTTAAGCCACCCAGTCTATAGTAGCTTGTTATGGCAGCCTGAGCAGACTAATACTCCCACCTACATTCAATCTTGCTCAAAGAAACAAAAAACTGAAGCCATAGATATCCATACCTAAAATATTTCGCTTATTTCCTGTCAAGTTTTTAAGTTTTCTTTAATATAGTTATAGCTGGAGTTAAATATGAGCAAGTCTGTAAGTTGCCCCTTGCCTCCCAGGGCCCATTCCTCCAAATCCATTCTCACTTCCTTCTTCAGCAAAAGAACCCTAAATTTTAGCTTGACACGTGGCCATGCAGAACAAAGACTACATTTCCCAGATTCCTTTGCAGCAAGGTGTCAGTTCAAACAGATACAAGTGGAAGGGGCTTGTCCAACTTCCAGCCTGTGCTCTTAAAGACATGAATGTGTCCTTCTTGTTTTAGTTCTTCCCTGATAGCCATTTTGCTGTACTCACTGGGTAGAGGTGGAGCAGCCATCTTGGACCATAAAGTAGAAGCACACCAAGGATGGTAGACCAATACAGAATGAGCTGTTATAGCAGTCTAGACTGCCTATGTTTACGTATGGGAGATGAAATTCTATCTTAGTTAAGCCATCGTTATGCTGTTATAAGCCACTGTCAGTGTCAGCTAAACCTCCAGCTAACAAGCATAATAAATGACATTATTAAAATTGAGTTTTTTAATTTAAAAAAAAAGTGATAGTACTTCTGAAAAATTTCTTACCAAGGAAGCTCAGTCAACCCTCCTTGTATGGCAATAGCAGACTTAACCCGGTTAGCAAACTGGACTGCATCTTCTCCTTCCTGGAAAAAAACAATCACAAGTACTTTCTTAAGACAGAATTTTCAAATAATGCTTTCAAATGTCTCACAATCATTTAGATTTGTTTTAAAGTATAAGATTCATATTTTAGCTCAGATATGCTCTATTCTGAATCACAGCAAATATCATTTGTTCTATTAAGAAAATGCAGTGCTGTACTGTTTAATATTTTTATCACGTGTATATATGTTTATTATGCTCTATATTAGCCTTATTCAAGATACAAAATTCTACAATATCTGCAGGTTCAAGAAACCAACGGCAATTGTAAAAACTATTATGGAAAAGAGTCTCTGAATATAAAACCAGCTTGATTTTGAAGAGAGCTAGGTATATATACTTTTTAATGACTAATGCTGAGAAAGCAGAAAGTCCAACTGTAGCTAATGTGAGGAAGGGAGACACCCAGGTTTTCAGGTAAAGGTTTTCTTGCCTTTATCTGACTAGATAAAGCACCAAAGACCAGCTGTCTATGGCATACCTCTCTGGTCATGGGGGGCATGTACCACACATCACAGACAATTGCCCAGCTGGTCATCATTCGAAGCAGGTAGCTCACCATGTTGTATTTACTACTGTTCCAAAATGCATCACCAAACTGAGGATTATACTGAGAAAAGAGAAAAGAAAATGCATTCCAGTTAGGAATTAAGTGGCAGTTTCTCTTATCCATGTCAATGGATGATAAGCCAAATATCTCTATCAGACCCCCCAAAAAAGAGAAGCTACTGCACTTGACAGAAAGGATCCAAAGAGCAAACTAGACGTAGAAAACAAATTTATGGTTACCAGGGGGTAAGAGGGGGAGAGAGAAATTGGAAGATTGGGGTTGACACATATGCACTACTGTATATAAAAGAGTTAACTAATAAGGACCTACTGTATAGCACCGGGAACTCTACTCAATACTCTGTAATGACCTATATGGGAAAGGAATCTAAAAAAGAGTGGATATGTGTATTTGTATAACTGATTCACTTTGCTATACACCTGAAACTAACACAACATTGTAAATCAACTATACTCCAATAAAAATTAAAAGAACAATTAAAAAAACTACACTCCATTAAAAATTTAAAAAACAAACAAACAAACAAAAAACCCAAAGAGCAAACCAGGCCATATAACTCACCTGACTACAGCCAGAGAGCACTGATACAGGAGGGTTATTGACAAGACTCTTAAATATCTGTCTCCCCACTTAACTGGAAGGTGGGTGAAAGGAGGAACAGTATCTGTTTTGCTTATCATGGCGTCCTCAGTACTCAGACACTGGCCTGGCACACAGTACCACCCCACATATCTATATACATATCTCAATAGAGAGAAAAAGTGATCAAGCAAATGGGGCAACTGTAAATAATTGATCAATCTGAGTAAAGAGTCCACAAGTATTCCTTATTCTTGCAAATTTTAAGTTTGAAATTATATCAAAATAACATTACCAAGTCACTGCCCTCTTTTGTGGGGGTGAGGGTGTTTTACCTTAATGGCAACTGGATATATGGTTCCTCCAATTTCAAAGCTTCCCTTTTTAAACATCATGACTGAAGTATTGTTGATGCAAGTTCCTATAAGGAAATGGGAGTAGAGGGTGAATATTTTTTAAAGCAGTCATTTTTAAAATGAATCATTTTGATATAAAATAATTTAAAATATTCAAGTCATATCAAATTACAGATTTTTTTTAAAAAATTAGATATTTTATCATTTTACAAATCAATTCCTGCTTGAGTAGTAGTAATTCGACAGTTCTAAGCAGGTTTAATAACGAACTTTTGCTTTATTACTGGCTACTCTAAAGATACAATTTCCTCACAACAGGTGACAATTTCAGCACATCGTAAAACAAGGACTTTAAAAAGTTATGGACAATACCTTTCTAAGTTCACTACCCAGAAACAACTTCTATGGTCAAAAAGGTACCAGGACTTCCATCAAATCTCAAAAGAAAGCAGGGAATTACTAGCCCAGAGGCCATCCCATCCCTACAGGACAGCATAGATCTGAACTAAGAATGCCAATTCTAGAACAACCCAATTCCTCATATACTCTCGGTACTTGTTAGCAACTATAGCTTGGTAATAAACACTGTCCCTTCTTACCTTCAGGAAAGATTAATATGGGTAACTTTTTCTTATCAGCAATATGTTCTCTTAGTCTGTGAAGAAAAAAAAAGGATCAAAATTATACCATAAAAAAGAGAGAGGTGGGAATCCTTTTTGGTATTCTTTACTCTCTACTAACACAGATATACTTGTAAAGCAGTAAGAAGGAAAGAAATAAGATACAAGTAAAGAAAATAAACTGAAGTTGGTCCCTTTCTAAAACATGTGTAAAGGCTGGTAAAGCTGAGATAGAGAGATTACAGCTGCCAGAGTATATACTGCTGCTCAGTAATCTCAAGATGGGGAACAGTTTTCTAACCTTAAAGAGGTTTCAACAGGTACTTTCCATTTTACTTTTAAAAGCATGGCCCACCTTCATCTTTACAGCAATGATCAGAGTGCCTTCAGTTAAAGGCCTCAGGTAAAAAGCTGTTTCCAAACAAAGGTTTCTGGTAAGCAACTGTACCCCAAGCCCCAGGAGTTCCTTCTGTTCCATAAATAGCATTAGCTCTGTCTGTCTCTACATGGATTTAAGTGATAATGGTCATTCAGCAAACACTTAATCCACCATCTATTTATTCAGCCAGCGGTTACCAATTATTACCTTCAAGGTAGTAATTTTCAACTTTAAAAATTCAGTGACTGGACTATATCTAAGTCATGGCAATGTAAATGTATGGGCCTTCTAATCTCATCATGTATCCCACTATGACTACAGAATTCAAAAATTTTAAAATCTAGCCAAGACAGGTGATTCACCAGAAAAGGCCAACCACAAATAGAGCTCCATATGTTTTAGTTTTAACCTTTAGTACTGCTCTGCCTTCTTTGGCAGGAAGACCAAGGCTTCAAAGATTTTATGCTACCCCAATGGATACTGTGTAATGATGCTGCTCACCTCTTAGTAACCAGGTGTCGGTCCTTCATTTCTGAGCGTTCAAACCAGACATGTGGACAAGCCTTGACCATAGCTCTCTGAATAATTCCCATCAATCCACCATGAACCTGGCCAACCTAGAAGGACCATGAGAAAAAAATGCAAAGGCATAGCTGTCCAAAGAAAGCCTTTTTTTCTTTTTAGTACCAGTAAGTTCCTATTCCCCACTCAGAGAAAAGATTGGCCTTCTTCTGATGGAAGTTCTTAGTCTGTTCAAAGGACATGACTGGCCAAATATAAGCACAAAGTATTCTTTAGTAGCGCCTTTGAATTTTAAGCTATGTTGCTATACTAGCTTTACTCTAGCTTTAAAAAGTAGAGGTCTTTCAACTCAGTCAAGATAAGGGAAATACAAATTAAAACTACACTGAGGAACTTCCCTGGTGGCGCAGTGGTTAAGACTTCACGCTCCCAAGGCAGGGGGCCCAGGTTCGATCCCTGGTCAGGGAACTAGATCCCACATGCATGCCTCAACCAAGAGTTCACATGCCACAACTAAGGAGCCCAAGTGCTGCAACTAAGACCCAGCACTACCAAATAAATAAATAAATATTTAAAAAAAAAAAACTACACTGAAATACGATTTCTGACCATTCAAATCAACAAAGAGTCAAAAGCTTGACAATGCGCTCTGAGCCAAGGCTGTGGGAAACAGGCACTCTCACACATTGCTTGGGATGAGGAGATTATAACACCCATAGCAGGAAATTTGGCAAATTTATCAAAACTACATATACATTTATCCTTCAACTCAATAATTCCAGTTCTAGGAATTTACCCTGAAGATATAGCTCCAACAAAATGGAAATATATATGCACAAAGTTATAACTGCATTATTTGTAATTGCAACATATTGGAAAATACCTAAATGTCCAAACATAAGAACTTAGATGAATAAACCATGGTACATGCACACAATGGAGTACTATACAGCTAGGAAAAGAATAAGGTTGATCTCTATGACTGATAAGGAGTGATTTCTAGGAGATATTGTTAAGTGAAAAAAGCAATTGCAAAAGAGCAAATAAAGTATGCCACTTTTTGTGTTAGATGGAAGGGGAAATATACACATGTATTTGTTTACCTCTACAAAAAGAAAACATACGCAAAACCAATGTAGTTGGAAACCTACAAGGATAGGAGGGAATGGGGTAGAATGCACATGTGTGGAGTGACTTCTATGAGTGTAGTTTTTTGTCTAGTTTTGACATTTCAAAGCATATTAATGTCTCACAAATTTAAAAAAATAAATCAACAAGGATGCGACTAGCAAAGTGAAAGCAAATTTAAACAAATGAACCCAACTGTATTTCAAATGAATAAAAGAACACTGAAGAAAGGGGGAGGAAAAAAAAAATCTAAGAAATTTACAAAGATAGTATTTGACCACATCTGCTCCATCTTGGGTGGGGTACCAAGAAATGCAAAATACCCTGAATTCTTTTTACAACATATTTTTCTTTTTGTAGTAAAACAGGTGAAGCAATTCTGAAGCAATTTTAGATGTATTATAGGATTGAGAAAATAGGTAAACATGTTGATATTGTTGGGGAAAAGGGTATTCACTGTGAAGAAAAGGGAGATACAAATATAGGTTGCGGAAAACTAAGAAAGAAATTGATGAATTGAATGAATCGTTACAGACTCAGATTTCTAATATTATATTAGTATTACACATAAATATGACATATAAACATATTAAAAGTAGAAATATTTTACACACATTTTTACATAGAGAGAGAGAGAGCAGCACATGAGAATGTAAATAATAAAGCATGGCACAAAATGTTACCAACAGGTAAATGTGGATAAAGGGCATATGGATGTTCCATGCAACATTCTTATTATTACAATTTCTAAGTTAGAAAATATTTCTAGATTTTAAAAAAAAGTAGAGAGGTTTGTTTAGGAAGAAAAAAAAAAAAACAACTCTGAAAAGGCACTAAGAAGAGATCTTGATGTATAGTTTATATTTAGCCAAAAGAGGACAAATACAACCTCTGGAGGTTAGCTGTACAGTTCCTCCCACTTCTGCCCTCTGCTGCCTCTGATTTAAATCTGGTTGGCTTAGAAACGATGGAGACGGGGGGAGGGGGTTGTGGGACAAAATAGTTGAAGAGGATTAAGAGGTACAAACTTTCAATTATAAAATAAATAAGTAATGGTATGTAATGTACAGCATAGAGAATATAGTCAATAATGTTGCAGTAACTTTATATGGTGGCAGATGGTTACTAAACTTATAGCGGTGATTAATTCATAATGTGTATGTGTTGAATCACTATGTTGTATGCCTGAAACTAACTTGACATTGTACTCAATTACAATTAAAAAATTAAAACTAAAAAAATAAATAAAGAAATCCAACTGGCTTTTGGTTTCTATCACTCAACCCATCAGAAAGTTCGCAGGTTCTATGATTTTCTAAGCCTTGGCTAATACTGTAAATTATACAGTTGTATACTGCACCTGTAATTGCAGTTATATACGATCAAGAAGCATGGAAAATGCTAACAAAATTCTGAGGCCGTCAGTCACAAATGAGTTATACTCAACTCTTTGCTGACCAGGACATGGAATGAATATTGTATCAGAAACACAAAATCATGATTAGACAAGTTGGTTAAGACGCTTGAACCTCTACTTTCTCAACTACAACATCTCAGCCCTAACCCCTTTGGATTACAGGGAAGGTCAAACACAATGCATGTGAACGTGCTTGTCCATATAAATGCAAAGAATTATTATATACACCCAGAAATGGGTGGGGTCTATCCAGGATTGTTAACATGAGGGTCTCTGGACGGGCTTTCTGGCGTCTCTGGATGGGCTTTCTGGGATCCATAAACAACTTGAAATTATATACAAAATTTTGTTTGTATGATGCAAATGTATGTTGTTGTTTTTCTAAAAAAAGGATACATAAATATTAACTGATTGCTAACCTAAAAAAGGTTAAGAACTACCAATTCCCATTAAGTCTTTTCAGAGTGGTGATTAAAGCTTCCTTAAATTCAGAAAAAGCTCCACAACTTACAGAAATTTAATAACGTGTTAAAATGTGTTTGCCCAAGAGTTATATATGTGAACTTGTATCTTAGATTAAATATCTGGCAGTGAGCTAGGAGCTTTCACAAAGGTCTTCAAACCCCCCCCAATGACTGTATAAGCCACAGATCGTCAGCTACCAACACACATGCCAGCACTCCCTACTTGCCTATCTGCAGCAGACACTTAAATCAACAATGGCTCCCTTCATATGCCTTCCTTTCAAGGAAAGCACACCAGACCATGAGTGTCAGTCATAGGAGGAGGGGACTCAGAGGTACAAACTACTAAGTAGAAAATAAATAAGCTACAAAGATACGTTGTACAGCACAGGGAATATAGACAATTTTTTATAATAACTATAAATGGAGTATAACGTTTAAAAATTGTGAATCACTATGCTGTAACCCGAAACTTATATAATACTGTACATCAACTATACCTCAAAATAAATAAATTAATTAATTAAATAATGGCTCCCTTCAAATGCCTTCCCAGGAAAGCACACCAGACCATGACTAACAGTCACTAGAGCTGACACGTGAAATAAAATCCATCTGTTCTCTCTGAAGTCCAAGCCACCACCATGAGATATGAAAATAAGATTCCCCAGGATTCCTCTCTCATTATTCTATTCACACGCCAGCTTAGGGCATATTTACCACCAGCAGGAAAGAACATCTTTAGTGATCCTCCAAATTTTACTTGACATATACATAAAAGAGAGGAAGAAAATCTTGACAAGTTCTTCAGGGTGACAGAAAACACCCTTTGAATTGAAAACATGCCAGAAATGCCACAAAAAGGTCTTTTGAGGTGTCTGATTTTTACTGTGGGCTTTGTGGTTTATTGATGGGTTTTTTTCCTTTTCTTTTGCGGCTGTAGGCAAGAACTGAGAAAGGCAATGTGGTATATATATCTGCCTTCCTTGCTTGACCTTCATTAAAGGGACAGGGGTTTTTTCTTTAATTGCATATGACTCCCTGAAGGGAGACAGAACTAATTGGCTGGTAAGGGATTTGTACAGCTCTAAGGAGGAAGACTTTAACATCTCAAAGTGTCATTAAATACTGCAGGGATTTTTCTTTTTTTTACTTTTTTTATTGCTTATTAAACATTGCAGGGATTTTACAAGCAAGATGGAATCAACTTTATAAAGTCCAATCATGCTCAAGTATATCTACATTTCATTAAGTTAATTTCTTACTACCTTAAATATAATGGCTGTTTTCCTTCTTTTTCTTGCACTATATATTCCTCATGTAAATATATTAATATTGATAACTTATATACTTACATAGTATAACACCGTCACTTTCTAATATAAAACTAACTTTCTAATTTGTGCCAAAATAAAACAAAAGTTTGAACAATCCACAACACATGCAATTACTTGAAATAACGCGTTGTTCTTACCATAGCATAGCACCCATCCGTTGTCAAGATCAAAACATCTATCGGTGAAGTATGGTTGGCAACACAAATGCCTCCCTTCTGGGGTCTGTACTGCCTGCAATTACAAGCAACGGTTAATACTAAATCTTGAAAAATGGCCACTATTTTGCAGAACAGCATGTAGAAATTCACGCTATTTTGTTTTTAAAAGTACACTAAAAAAATAAAGTTTCAAAGTATACGAGCTCATCTTAAAAAGGTTGTCTCCAGGCAGTATGATGGGAGGGGGCTACAAGTATAGGAGGAGGGGCCCATGATTTTCCCTTTACATACATTTATATCACTTTTCTGTAATGATCATATTATCCTTTTATGATGAAAAAATAATTTTAAAACATTAGACTGAATTACAAAGATTCCATAACTTTAATAAACTTTGTGATATGTAAGTTTTACTTATTTTACCATAAGTATTTTCACATTATTTCAATCTTCATAAGTATCACTTTCAGTGGCTTCAGGATGATCCAGAGTAAATTCACTGTGGTTTCCTCCTTCCTATCCCCCTAAAACAGAGGTTGGCAAACTCTTCTTATCACAGGGCAGAGAGTAAATACTTTAGGCTTTGCAAGCCAGCCAATCCCTGTCAAAACTCCTGGACTCTGCGGTTTTGGCACAAAGGCAGCCACAGATAATACATAAATGAATGAGCATGGCTGTGTTCCAATAAAACTTTATTTACAAAAATCAGATGGCGGGCCACATTTCGCCTACAAGCCCATAGTTTAGTGTGTCAACCTCTGTCCTAAAGTTCAAATGGTATTTCACACTAATGAAGCAAAGTGGTTTTCTTTGGACCCATACAGAGAAGAAAGGGAACCAAATGCATAACAACGTTAGTATGTTTTCCTTAAAATTAGAAGCAATTCTACAATAAGTTGTGAACTCCTCTCCACGTAATTAAAGCTCCTATTCTATAGAAGATTTTCCTCTAATCATACTTTTACCAAAACATTTTCTTCTAATCCTCACCCCAAAACTCACAGCCCAATCACAAATCCTGTAATTTTAGAAATTTAAGGGGCCTTTTATGTTGGTAACACATGGTAAAGCCAAATGATGAAATGTTTCCCTTCTACAAAAAAGACACAAACATCCAGTCACACAGATATAGAGAGCAAACGAGTGGTTAAAAGTGTGTGTTGGGCTTCCCTGGTGTCGCAGTGGTTGAGAGTCCACCTGCCGATGCAGGGGACACGGGTTCATGCCCCAGTCCGGGAAGATCCTACGTGCCGCGGAGTGGCTGGGCCTGTGAGCCATGGCCCCTGAGCCTGCGCGTCCGGAGCCTGTGCTTCGCAACGGGAGAGGCCACAACAGTGAGAGGCCCGCGTACCGCAAAAAAAAAAAAAAGTGTGTGTGGCAGGGGCATCACAGGGGTGGAGAGTGGGAGGTGCAAACTACTGGGCGAAAGACAGGCTCAAGGATGTGCTGTACAACACGGGGAATATGGCCCATATTTTATAATGACTGTAAGTGGCAAGTAACCTTTAAAAGTTGTATAAAAATTTTTTAAAAAGATCCAGTCAGTAAAAAAAGAGACGCTTGTCCTAGAACTTTTTAAATAATGATATTAAATATAAAAAAATAAAATTTAGTTTCCAGAAATGTAATTCAAAAACAATCAAAATGACCTCCATGTAGCTAATAACTTCACTTACTACCTTTCTCCTCTCTGATGAGGGGTGAGGTAAGCAGAATGCTGGGTTCTGTTTTAAGGCTCAGTTGTGGGATTTTAGAAGTGGCAGAGCTGAGACTAGAAACCAGACTCAGGATTCCCAAGTCTAGTCCTCTTTCCACCATTCTGCAGGCCTGTCACCTTCACATTTAAAAATTTTTACATGGATCCAGTTTAAAACCTGACTCTCCCATTTACTAGCCACGTGACCCTAGACAACCAAACCCAGAGCTTCCATTTCTTCACCCCATAAAACAGGATAACACAGCGCCTTGTCAAAGGGATGACCTATGAGAAGTACGGGCCTGGCCTGCACACCATAAATGCCTATTTATTAAGGTCATTACATGTTTATTATTATGTTCCCTCTGCAAATGGATTGCTTTTGAAAAGTAGGGGTTTTTTTTGTTTGTTTTTTAAACATCTTTATTGGAGTATAATTGCTTTACAGTGGTGTGTTTCTGCTGTAAAACAAAGCGAATCAGCTATACATATACATATATCCCCATATCCCCTCCCTCTTGCGTCTCCCTCCCAGCCTCCCTATCCCACCCCTGTAGGTGGTCACAAAGCACCAAGCTGATCTCCCTGTGCGATGCAACTGCTTCCCACTAGCTATCTATTTTATATTTGGTAGTGTATATATGTCCATGCCACTCTCTCACTTCGTCCCAGAATGTCCTCAAGTCCATTCTCTACGTCTGCGTCTTTACTCCTGTCCTGGCCCTAGGTTCTTCACAACCTTGAAAAGTGTTTTTGTGCACTGTTATGTCTGTGACGCTCTAAGCAGTAGGGATGAACACACTGAAAATACTCTTATTTCACCTGCTTCCTCCCACCCACTACTGTCAATCACATGCTGATTTACCTAGAGAAAGGCTGGCAGGGAGCCAGCAAATACTCACTTGTTATGATAATGAATGGTACCAGAGAGGGCACGAACACAGATCCTGCAGCAAGTCAGGTGGACCAGTTCACTCAGCTGGTTTTTGAGACTGAAGGAAAGAGAAAACATTTTATTGTGCAGCTCTGGGCACTCCTAAGAAACAATACAATAAAAGCTTCCATGTGCTCCTTGACAGCAGCATACAGTTCAATTCTCACTGTCTCACTGAGGTATTTAGGACAAAACTCTAATGGAAAATAGCTTCCACCCTGACCAACGATAAATCCTGACCAAGGACTAGCATGATAAAATTCCTGCCCAAGATAAGCTGAAGCTTCTTTGGTCTCAGCCTCATGAGCTTGACAATACTACAAGACTCTCTTGCTTTCCTTGAGTCCCTGAGTCCATTTGCTTCCTTCTCTTCATTTCCCCTTTTGAAAAGCGACTTCTGTCAATTTAAATGTAAGCATCATGGGAAATCAAAGAAAGACTATGAAGATGAAGTGAGCAGCATTTTAATACGCGTGCTGAGGCCATAAATTTGACGCAGTACATAGGAATCACACAAATATTCTCTTTGTGGACACAGCTAAGAAAACGGACAATCCTATTAATGGCTGGGAGGAAGGAAACATTTCACCTGCTTTCTGGCAGCTGTCCAACCAGGGTAGTTCCTATAACCAAAAAACTGATCCCAATGAAAGCCAAGGTAACCCTGAAAAGGAAAAGAAACAGTAATGCAAAACCTAGTTGAACAGTAGGGGGAAAAGGGAAGGAATATAAAGTTCATAAAAAATTAAACTGTAAATAAATTGAGGAGCATCTACGCTATGCAATATGAAGCAGCCATTCAAAGAATCGGGCAAATCTATAGATTCTGACATGGAAGAATGGTTCTTTGTACATTTTGAGAAAAAAAAAAGAGCAAACTTCAAAATAATGTGTAGAGTATGATACCATTTTCAAAATAACACCAAGCACATAACCAGTCTATAGATGCATATAGCAGGCCTGGAAATTTGTTCACAGAACTGCCACGTTCAATCTATGCAATCATCAAAGGATTAAGCGGGCTAGTGAAGAGAATAAAAGTCTTGCCCTTCTGCTTTTCTAAAGTATTTTAAAAAATTTTTAAAAATATACACATATTAACTTCTTTTTTTTTTTTTTATGCGGTATGCAGGCCTCTCACTGTTGTGGCCTCTCCCGCTGAGGAGTGCAGGCTCCAGACGCGCAGGCCCAGCGGCCATGGCTCACGGGCCCAGCCACTCCGCAGCATGTGGGATCTTCCCAGACCGGGGCACAAACCCGTGTCCCCTACATCGGCAGGCGGACCCTCAACCACTGCGCCACCAGGGAAGCCCTTAACTTCTTATATAAGAAAAGAGTTTTATGCTGTATAAAGGAGTCATTTCAGGTTGAAAGTAGTTAACTTACTTTGTTTGAGATACTTTGGTGCGGCATGGTGAGGTTGTAAAAGGAAAATACCTTGCAAAGGTCTGAAAATAACTTGTTTTTCTATGCTTTTTAATGATGGGGGGAAAAGGGCACAATTCAAATTTTTCTCAAAGAAATTTATAGCAAATGACGAGAAACTTTTACTTAAAGGCTCTTCCATAATACGAGCACCAAGTTATATCACCATGTAGGAATCCTTCCATGCAAATCTAAGTGTGGTTCCTTTGTGTGGTTCTAGACAGCTCAGAAGTTAGTAAACAAGGTGACAGACAATATCTCTCATTTCCACAGACACTTTCTCATTTTTGAAAAGTGCTTTTACTTTCAAAAAGGAAAGAGTCATTCTTAGAAATGTAAATTACTCAAAAAGAAAAAGCTGAGATTTTATACCTTTCAAAATAAATGGGGCTTCCTTATAAAGCCCTTGTTAAGTTGCTAAACCTTGTTAAAGTATTGGTTTAACACCTTTTGACACAGCGATTTGAAGGTCTGATTCAGTTTTTCTTTGGATGCCATATTTTCATGTCAGTCACTAATGCAATAACTTAAATGACTGCTTAATCTCATCCATCGATTACACAAAAGTTTTAAAATAATGTTGTGCCATCTTGTCCTAATGAGAATCACTTGTTCCTACACATTAAATCAGAAGAGGTTATATATTTTAACATGTTTAACAACTGGGTTCAAAACTATTGAACATTTTTATTTGCTAAATTAACAGAAAATTCTGTTTTCCAGTCTCAGTGAGCCAACATGACAGTTCTCACAGATGACACAAGTTTTCTGCCACAATCTGTGTTGCTTAAGAGCTTTACTGAGATACAATTCACACGTCATACAATTCACCACTTAAAGTGGCAATTCAATAGTTTTTGCCACATTCACAGAGTTATTCAACCATCAACACAATTTTAGCACAATCTGTTTTTTAAATGCTCACTTTGTAGCAACTGCTTCTTTTAAAAAGCATTTACAAAGCAATTCGTTCCCATGAAGAGTATATGTACTAAGAGTAGGAGCCTCAGTTCTGCCATTTTCTTCTTGCTGCTTATATTACTGGATTATCCTAAATCTGTGGTTTCTTTGCAAGAATCTTTTATGTCACGTACCTATTTCATGAGCATTAATTTAAACTGGATAATAGAATCATATCACTATTTGGTGGGTACCCCCAGCAAGTGAAAGCTAACCAACATATGAGGGCATCTCAAGTACTCTGGGCTGTAAAATCCTCACTCTTTCTTCAGGTTGCCTTGGATATGGTGCCTGACCCATGGACCAAGTGAAGATGTATGAGCTCATCTATATATTCAACTTTACTGAAATTTCATTTCTTTATAAGAATAAAAATAAAATCAGTGGAAGCACTAATTATAAATAGACTAGAAACTTCTAATAAATAAAAACTGAAACATTTCCCAAACACAACAATGGATAATCTTGTGCATCCCCAGAGTGCATGAACCCCACTTTGGGAACACTGGCTTAATGTTCAAGCAAGGGTGTCCTAATTTCACTTTGTTATCACAGCTGAAATGATTCTCCAAAGACATACCCCAACATCTACACAGTGGCAACATGAGCACAAGAAAAGAGAAAGAGCTTCTTAGAAATGTGCCTTTGCCTACACTTAAGCAATCTCTTCCCGCATAATAAATCTGAATGAGGCAAGGATAGGCCACCCTAGGGATGGTAAAGAGGTTTCAACTCATGTGCCAATTTTAGTCGGCTGGAAGCAACTGCCTGGAAAGCTGTATTGAGAGCACACCAAGGCCATGTCCAGGGAAATGAAGCAAGACAATCAACAGCAATATCATGCCTGGCACCCGTGCTACCACCTGCCATCACCACGCTAAACAGACCATAACCACTTCATCCCACTGCCCAGTGTCACCCCTTCAACTCACAATCCACACTGTGGCTCCAGTAAACTGGGCTTTGAGGCTACTTTCTCATGAGGCAGCACGCAAACTCAGAACCAAAACGGGGCCCAACTGGTGAACTTTTAATAAGAAAAGTGAGTGATCAAAATTGAACTAGGTGGAACAAATTCACCCTTCCAAATATCCCTCTCCTGTGTGGTAACCACTCTGAGGAATTTTTTTTCTCCTGTGCAGCTATGAATGGCTACAGACCAGCAAAGAGAGGCAGTCACAGTTTGGATGACACTCTGGTGAATGTGAAACTGTAAATACTCTCCTTTTTTCTAACTTCCTTTTTCTATCCATCCTCAAATTTTCCATGACTGAAAGAGCAACATGGATGCAGTTAATCTATACTGGATGCTGAATGCACACTTCCATTTGGGAAAAATATGAGAGAATCAATAATATGTTTTTGTGGAGGTCACGTTCAGTGGTGTTTTTTAAATGGGAAGGGGTGGGTTAGTATCATTAATGCTCTCATGTGGCCATTACATACATGATTTAAAAAGAAAGCTGAACCAATCGTACCGTCAAGTTACTGGGCAGGAGACGTACCTCAGAGGTAGTAGGACACAGTAGCGCACTATGACGCCCAGCACCCACACCATGGTGAGCTTCGGACTGATGTACTGGAAATTTACATTGGTCCTTGTGAGGAGATTCCATGACACTAGCTCCTCTGAGGAGAACCTCTGGGTCACTTCGTCTTCCACAATGGCTTGCAATCCCTTCTTGGAGAAATAAAACACGTCAGACAGCTCAAAGTCCCTTCCTCGCAGACCAGACAGCCCTTTTTCCATGGGTGACTCATCTCTTTGGATAATACCTTAAAAGAAAGCATCAGGACATGAGAAAATGCCATAGGACAGAAGAACAACTGATCAAAGGGGCTACTTTAACTGTGCAGAAGACAAATCTAACGGGTAACATGAAGCAGATTTCAGAAATAAAAGACAAGCAACTGAAGTGGGAAAAGGGGTAAAAATCCCTGAGTCTGCATGAAATGGCTTCTACCCAATGATTTCAATTCATTACAGAGGAATTTGGTCCTCAATAACCCTTTTGCTTGCATCTTCTCCCTACAAATCATTAGCAAAAGAACTCACAGAAACAAACTCTCCCCAAGTATAAATCTAGACTGTGTAGAAACAAAATTTATGTTTTCCCCAGATAAAAACGATAAAGCCAGAAAGCAAGCAAAATGGCAAAAGGTATTACCACAAATAGCAAAAGTTTGATGTTTTTAATATGTAAAAATTATTTAATAAGAAAAACATAGCCTCCTGCAAAAAAGTAAGCAAAGTTCATGAACTGAATTCGTAGAAAAAAGATAAATAGTTAATAAATATTTCAAAGCCTTTTTACTAGTAATCAAAGAAACGTGAATCAGACAAAGAGTGGCCTATTTGCATGACCAAATCAGCAACATGTTTCTTTAATGGTAAAGTTCAAAGACAGAAATGACACAGGTACTCTCATACTCAATTTGTAAGAGTGTGGAACTGGGAGCAATTTTGTCAAAATCTGCTTGGCATGAAGAAACTAAAAATAGTTTTGCTGATGAGTCAATAATTCCAATTCTAGGAACCTGTCATAAGAAAATAATCAGAAACACAGGCAAGAGTGTTCACTGTAGCATTTTCATTATAATAGATCCAGACAGGGACGTCCCTGGTGGCACAGTGGTTAAGAATCCGCCTGCCAATGCAGGGAACATGGGTTCGAGCCCTGGTCCGGGAAGATCCCCCATGTCGTGGAGCAACTAAGCCCGAGCACCAAAACTACTGAGCCTGTGCTCTAGAGCCCGCAAGCCACAGCTACTGAAGCCCGCATGCCTAGAGCCCGTGCTCCACAACAAGAGAAACCAACACAATGAGAAACCCTAGCTCGCCGCAACTAGAGAAAGCCCGCTCGCAGCAACGAAGACCCAACGCAGCCAAAAATTAATTAATCAATTAATTAATTAATTTTAAAAATAGATCCAGACAATGAGATATAGTATATCCATTAATAAAAACTATAATGTTAAGTGAAAAAAGTCAGGATCTAAAACTATGGTTTACTCTTAACTCTATGAAATATATATATAGTAAAAATGTCCAGAAGGAAACATTAAGTGGTTATCTCTGGGCAGTAGGACTAGGTTTTCCTCTTTATACTGTTATTGTATTTTCCATAAGGATAATAATTCAAAGATTTTTTAAAGTAGCACAAGTTTGGTAGATTGAGAAATGACTACTGCCACCCAGTTCTACCCACTGAATAAAAATAATAGATCTTCAAAATAAAAAGTAGCTATATACACAGTGACATGGCTATCCATTTGTCCCCTATGGGGCGCATCACAAATGAATTTACTTCTTACATTAATTAGAAAAGTCAAGACTTAAGACGTTAAGTTCCCTGAAAGAAGATCCTCTTTGATTTTCTCATTTGAAGAGGATCTGGAATCCAAAGTCAAGTTCTGTCAGGACAACCACCAGCTTGCTCTATGGCCAGGGGTAACCAATAAGTCACCTCACTTGGTGTCCTCCCTTATAAAATGGGGGGCAGGGGGCTGGGAAAGTCCTTACAAAGGCTAAAGTTTTCTGATTTTACTTTTGAGTTTTTTGGTGGGTTTTGTTTGGTATTGCCCACATGCAAAGCTAATACCTAACCACCTTAAGAATGAGAGCACTAAAGTAAGCTCTTGAATGATCATTAGATTATCTTTTTCAGTTGCGTACTCCAAGTGGTTTAATCTTTCCACATCTCTGCAAAGGGTTTAATCAGTATTAGAAAATGAACCAAATAGTTTTGCTACTGAATTACCCTCTTGCTCTGTAGGTACTGCAGTACCGAAAGCAGGTTACTCAATCCAAGCACTGGCCAATATTTAGCAGTGCAAGAGTTTCATTATTTAGCAATGTATAGACTTTTTTTTATTAAGTCTAGAAGGGAAGAGATGAACAGTTACTTGGGAAATCGCTGAATGAAATACACTGGAGACAGGAGACTGCCCTTCTAAAAAATAACCTTTTTCAGAAGGACCAGAGATAAAAATACAAGTTCAAGTTGCCTCATATTATTTAACTGAGCCAGGAGAGAAGAGATCTGTAAACAGAAGCCAACCCCTTAGCCACTACACATTTGATGTGCAATGTTTTCTCTGCCCTCTGACCTACTTTATTCTGTGTAACTCAAATAAAATATAACTCAATTTTATATTTTCCTTAAGCCTCTTTTGAAAAGTATGTGGGTAACTGCAATGCATCTAACTGACAAAGGATTCATTTCCAGAATATATTAACATACAAAAAATTAATAAGAAAAAGTCAAAGAACTCAGTTAAAAAAATGCTTAAGTATATGGCAAGGAATTCATAAAAAGAGTAAGGCTTAATGACTTACTTACTTTTAAATAAACATTTAAAACGATGTTCAGCTTCCCTATAATCCGAGAAATGCAAAAACCACAATGAGATACTATTTCATACCCATGAAGACCGATAGAAATTTTTAATTGAATAATATCAAGTGTTGGTAAAGACCTGGGACAGTGGAATGTAATTAGCACAACCACACTAGAAAACAATTTGGCACTATCTAGTACATTTAAAGATATTCACAGCCCAAGACCCAGCAACTCTACTTCCAGGTACACCGCAGGAAGATCTGCGTTTAATAATTGCAAATATACAGAAAAACTGCAGTGACGGTTCACTTTACCCAGATCCACGAACTGCCAACATTTTCTCACATTTGCTTTACTGTCATATCTCTGTATGTATAAAACAATACTATTTTCTGAACCACTTGAGAATAAATTGCAGACATCATGCCCCTTACCCCCCAAATATTTCAGCATAGATTTACTTAGGACATGGAGCTTCACTTATTTAACCACAGTACTTTTTTTTTTTTGGCCTTGCCGTGGTGCTTGCGGGATCTTGATTCCCCAACCAGAGATTGAACCAGGGCCATGGCAGTGAAAGCACCAAGTCCTAACTGCTGGACCACCTGGGAACTCCCATAACCACTGTACAATTATCAAAATGAGGAAAGTTGACATTACTGCAACACTAGTATCTACAGACCTTATTCAAATTCTGACAATGGTACCAATATCTTTTACAGCATTTTTTTCCTGGTCCAGGATTCAACCCAGGATTGTACAATACCTTTACATGTCGTCTCTGTAGTCTCGTATTATATGAAAAGTTTCCTCAGCTTTTCTTTGTTTTTCAAGATACTGACATTTCTTAAGAGCACAAGCCGTTTATTTTGTAGAATGTCTCAATCTGGGTTAACGTGATGTCTCTTCATGCTTACATGCAGGTTGTACACTTTGGGCAGGAATACTATGTAAGTGATGCTGTATCCTTCTCAGTGCATCCCATGGGGAGGCACTGATGTCAGTTTGTCCCATGATTTGTGACGTTTAATTTTGACCACTTGGTTTAAGGTAGTCAGTGCTTACAGGGTTCTTCCACTGTGAAGTTACTATTTTTCTCTTTTTGATTAATAAGTAGATAATTATTATGTATAAGTATCTATAAAAGGGAGATGCTTTGAAACTACGGAAATATCCTGCTCCTCACACTTTCACCCCAAATAAATTGGTACTATGTGTCTTTTTTTTTTTTTTTTTTTTTGCGGTACTTGGCCCTCTCACTGCTGTGGCCTCTCCCGTTGCGGAGCACAGGCTCCGGATGCGCAGGCTCAGCGGCCATGGCTCACGCGCCCAGCCGCTCCGCGACATGTGGGATCTTCCCGGACCGGGGCACGAACCTGCGTCCCCTGCATCGGCAGGCGGACTCTCAACCACTGCGCCACCAGGGAAGCCCTATGTGTCTTTTAAAACAGTATTTTCTCTCTCCTTCATTCCTTCCACATTTATTATTTGGTATTCCACTTTAAGGAAGAGCTTTTTCCTTATATTCTAGAGAGCTTCTTATAAAATTGTGCACAAACAGGCATATATAAGAACATCTTGCCACATTGTTTATAATAGCAAAATAGTGGAATCAATACGAAGGTTCATTCAATAGGTGGATATACAGCAATGTATACAAATATCGGGACTTCCCTGGAGGTCCAGTGGTTAAGACTCTGCGCTTCCACTGCAGGGGGCACGGGTTTGATCCCTGGTTGGGGAACTAAGATCCCACATGCCACCCACATGGCATGGCCAAGAAAATTTTAATTTAATTTAATTTTAAATATATATATACAAATATCGAATCATTATGTTGTACACCTGAAACTAATATAATGTTATATGTCAATTATACGTAAATAAATAAATGGAAGCTCATAGTTTTTAAAATGGATATATGAAGCATATACTACACAGCAGTTAAAAGAAATTAACTAAAATTTACCAAATTAGATAATTCGCAAATATCAGAAGGAACAAACATTTCAGAGTAATATGTGAAAGGTGATATTTTTATAGAGTTTGAATAATGCAAAACAATAAATACTACGTATTGTTTAAGAATACATACATGTATAGGGGAAGTATGAAAATATGCATAAAAATAATAAACATCAAAATCAGAGTAGCAGTTTCAGGTTTGGCAGGGCAATGGAATCAGGGAGGGATAAACAGGAGAATTTGTTTTGTAAAGTTTTATTTATTAAATTAGGTGGTGGCTACACATGTGCTATAACCAAGAAAAAGAAAAAAAAAAAGTTACATGGAACTGACAATTGTTCCCAAGATGAAGCTCTATATTGTAAGAGAGCAGGTACTAGCTTAAGAGCTCTTTAATAAGGCACACAAAATCTGAAATTAGGTATTATAAAATTAGATGTCAAAAGAAGCACTACTGAATTTATAATG